GATGAAATTTGGAATCGAGCAAGTTGCGTCCTTCAACTACATGAAGAACGCAAAGCTCGGAAATTTAAGAACCAAAATTTGTGGTATGTTGCAGTGATTAAAATTTAAGGAAGAAATCTGCAGCATGGTTTGAAAAAAAAATTAAATAAGTCTTCGGAGAAAAAAATGAAAGGGATATCCGAAGATTTTAAAATTGAAGAAAGAAGTGGAGGACATAGCATCTTTCAACAACCGAAGAGACATTTCGATGGTTTTATTTACTTCTGCCCTCCATTAACAACGCTTAAAGCCTGGAACTCTGAGAACATGGATGAGTCCCTGCTGCAGAAGATTTCTTCATTGTCACGATTTTGCATTGGAGAAGGCCCGCGGTATCATTTTAAAAAGTCTTCGGAGAAAGAATTATGAGAGGAGCACTCCGAAGGTTTGGAAATACAAGGTCGATTGAAAAAAGATATGTAGTGAAGAATGCAAAGTTCGGAAGTTTGCAATAAGCTTAAAAAAAGTAGCAGTGGAATCGACGATTTCGGTATTCTGAAGCTGAAGCGAAGAGTCACGTCTCTAGTGATTTACAAGTCAACTTACCAACAAGTCTCATCGAACATGAGGTAAGATTTCTTGATCTTTCTCGTTTAATTTCTTGTTTAACTGTGTTTAGAATTTTCGTTGTCATATTCATGAGGATTTTCTGTTTGTGCTTATGTACTCTGATTGCAGTCTCTCACGAATTTCTCCGAGTGGAATTTTGTTGTTGTGGCTGGTAAACATGATTTGATCCAGCCAATAAGGTTCTCGGCCCCGTTTGTTGGAAAGGAAATTGTCGTTGGTAAATGATGTTAATTTTATTTTTACAATCTCTTTTAATGTTATAAATATTCACCACTCCATCGAAGTGGTGAATTAAATTGTGTAATTGATGGTATATTTCATTGTATGTTTTTCTGTATATATATTCCTTTGTATATTATATATATTTCCTTTATATGCTTTTTCGTTTTGACATAGAATGCAAATTGTGATCCTAATTTTTATTCTTAGCGATTTCTATCAGAAATTTAATTTGTGTAGTTGTTCTCCTGTTAATTTCAGTTTTTGTAAAAGCTTGAATAATAAAATAAATATTATTCATAATCGAAAAGGCAACTCACATTATGCGTGTATTTTATTTAAGAAGTGAACGAGCACATTTGCGTAAAAAAAACAATCTTGACCTCAAAAATTGTTCCATAGTGTCATTAAAAGTTTTTGCAGCTATTACCATTATGCATCTCTAACAATTAATCGATTGTAAAGCTGATTTTGTAACTACAAATCTATTACTACCTCCAGATACTGGGTGGAAATGAATACCAGATAGGGTCAGTAAATCTTTGTCAGTACTCATTCTTACTAGTCAAAGCAGATTTAGTTCTAATGAAAACTCAAGAAATAAATGTGTATTTAAAATAAGCCTTCAATAAGTCTCAAATATTGCCTTAGCAAACGATTGTTTTGAAGTTGTAGAGTCAAAATTAATTTCTTCTGACAATGAAATACTTCAGAAATGGTCCCGGATCAAACTCATCTAAATCTTCTGGCATAGGTTTACCCTTGGTCTCAGGTAATGTAATGGCTAGTAAGGTTGCTGCAAACGATAAACCAGCAAGAATAAAATGTGATATTTTTCCACCACTCAAATCCTAAAATACAGAAACATAATCAAATTTCAATGCGACAGTATTGTTGCAATGAAAAATTGGCTTGCTTCTACTTTTTTTATATTGTTGGCTGAGAAATTAGCGAAAGAAACAGTTTTTTTGCTAGACTAAATTTTACAAACTGAACAGATTCTTTCAGTAATGAAATAGTTTCAGGCAGTTAGTCAGGCTTGATTGACATGTGATTTTGATTTCTATGTGATTTTTTATCTTTTTCAGGCCCGATTGTTGTAGTATTTTCTCATTGCTCACCACATATTTCAGTATTGGTGAAAACATGATACCAATGCACTGCGGTATATTAATTAATGAAAAACTGATGGTGCGAATGGTTGTTGGCATCATTTCATTCACAAGTAAAG